TTCTGACTTCAGAAACTAACTTAGCAGTTTGAAATGTTGTTTCCCCAATATGTGAAAACTATTATTGTAACACTGTAAATCAATTTTTTTTAAAACTAATTACTTGTTCATTTTATGTATATATGGGGAGGGGGGGGATATAGAAAACTATGACGATAAATCCTGAAACTGCATTAATTTTATTTTTTTACTTTCATTCCAGACAAGTTTCAAGTTTTCTGTTTTTCATTCAATCACATCCAATGACCTTTTAGAGCAAGTATTAACCAAGAAAGCTTTCTTATCCGGTCAGAGGAAGGGAAATGTTGAATCTTACCTGTTGAAAATATGTGGCCATGAAGAGTACCTTTTAGATAATTATCCTCTGAGTCAATATAAGGTGTGTGAAAATATATTCAAAATGTAAGCTTATTTTAATTGAAAATTTAAATTCAGTGACAAAATATAAAAGGTTCATTCTATGTGTCAAGAGATCTCAAAATGTTTTTTCATGTCATTGAAAAATAAATACTAATAAATTTAAGTTAGTATTAAGCATAATCATATACTAATCAATAATTTTAATTTTTAATTAAAATTAATTTTTAATTAAAATTAATTTTTAATGCATTTTGGCATTAAATTTTACTATTTTTTTAAATAAATGGTTAAGATATTAAGTAGGTATCAAGTTACCTTTTTTATTTATAGAAACATTTGGGAGTTAGATGGGTGAGAAGTTTATGTAAAGATGCTGAAATGCTTATGTAGCATTATTCTTTGGTATTTCCAACCAAAACATCCATTATTTTTGCAGATACAAAAGAACATCTGAATGGTCAGTATTGATAACACTGAAGACTACAAAAATTGCTGTGTAGTGCAGAGCAATGGTTCTCATACTTTTTACACGGCACCCCATTTCACTTGTCTTTGGTACTTGATCCACATGTTCATATACACACACACACAAATATGTATACCAGTAAGAAAAAAAAAAAAATCAAATATGCCACTTTCATTCAATTTTAAAAATGTTAGTGAGTGCACCACATGTTAAATCAGATATGCAAGTAAGTATACAATAACGTAAATTTTATGCAAGATAATTCTTACCTATTTGTGATGATAGTGCACCTGATTGTTAGAGCATAGCTTTAAAATTTGCTTTACTTTATAAAAAGATGCGAGTTGTAATTTTCTATTTTTTTCATGAACCTTATCATGCTTCCCCCAGAATACATTTCATGCCCATCTAAGGGGTAAACTCTGCAGTTTTAGAACCACTTGTGTAGAGCATAGATCCCTGCATTTGTATAACCTTCTTCATGACCAGAGGTTAAGCTCTTGTGATGAAAGCATACATCTAAACGTTAGCTTCATTTTTGTAACCGTTTTCATCCTTGATGTGAACCATTTTTTAAATCCTTCAGTACTCTAATATAAAACATTAAGACAAAATGTAACCTTTGTAATGATTCTCACCATTAAGTTCTGAATGACTTATCCAAATCAACATTATTAAGGAAAGATGCATCCACACACACAAAGCATATCTTCCACCACCTTCAGTTCATTAATGTAATCAAAACATAAAACTTAATAAAGGTAAAAATTTAATGAAACTAAAACATTGGATTTTTGCTGTCTACCAATCATTTGAACTGGCCTTAGAAGTTTTATAATTTTTAAGGCATGGTGTGAGAAAGAAAATGTATCTGACAATGATTTTTCAGAATTAATTAAAATAATTATTACCGACAAATAAGTACAACATTCAAATATCTCTCACTTTTTTTTGATACACTCTAGTCTTCCAAAGTAGACTGGAGAATATCTGAGTCAGGTTAAGGGTACTTAATACATGGATGAAAAGGTGGTGATAATGCTGTGTGGAAAAGTGATTTGGTGTTAATACCTGGATTAAGTTTTTGTTTAATACGACATACATTAGTAAGTACGTCACATGAATTTTATATAATTTTTCTGATCATTCGTCTTTTTAAGTTAGTAGAAATGTGAAAAAAAAAAGGTGGACTGAAATGTTTTAAAAAAGAAAAAATACTTAAACTTGTAATTCTGTATATTAGATCCTCTAGTTTCATTAAAAGTTGTTTTACAAGTATGCATTATATATGATCTCATTCGGAAGTTAGATTTATTCTTTATTTTTCAGTACATTCGTCAAATGATAGCTGATGAAAAAATACCTGAATTGATTATGGTTTCCATGGGTAATATTGAATGTAAGTAGTAGGAAAGATGATTTTTTAATAGTTAAAACCTCAAAGGAAGTGTATTTAAACTGCTTGACTTAAAAAGTAAATAATTTAAAATTCCTAAAATTTAACAAAATATCTATTACATTTATTTCTCAAACCAAATACTACATGTGTTGTAGATAAAAGTATATTTGTTGTTTTAATCTTAGGAACTAAACTTATTATAGTGTATTTTGCTATATATTTAAATAAAATGTGGGATACAAATATGTTTTGAATCAATGTGAAGTGCTCTATAAATGGCAAAGTGTTTCAAGCATAAATGTAAGTGCATGCCTTTTATCCACTTTGGATTGAATAGTAGAACTCAGAAGTGCCCTCATTACTTTAACATAAAACCCCATATTGATTATTGTATTAAGCAGGTAAAACTGACATTGCATAAACACGACAGAGAATTTAGCAAGATCTATAGGATTATATTTTTAATAATTTGAATTTAAATGTGTGTAATCTAAATTTCTTAACTGATACATTTGTTGTTATTATCCTAATACAAAGAAAAAGTGATAATTTTAACTTGAATGTAAATGTGTGTAAGCTAAATTTCTTGACTTATATGATTGTTGTTAGTATCCTAATACAAAGAAACAAGAACCACCTAAACATAAAAGATTATTAACTCTTTTGGGTAAAAACACGTCAAATTGAAAATATTGTGAAGTTATGTACTGCCATAAAGAAAGCAAGTTTTAAAATATTATGCTGTGTCTTTGTGCTAATATGTATGACTTTGTATGAAATGTTCCATGACTATACAATTAGCACACACAAATAGAATTATAATAGAAATAGAATATCAAAAAAAATAACCCTGTGCAGCTTTTTATTTCTGAGTGTGGGTGATTTGCATCCCATATATCTATGAGATTGTTGAATTTGTTATTTAAAATAAAATTATTTCCACAACAGTGTAAGATGTCTTCCAGTTCTTAACTTGATCTTATGTAATATTCTAGGTGGCACGTGAATGGATTAAATAGTTAAATACACATATTGTCAACTTATGAAAATTAAAGTTAAGAGCAATTAAGAGAGTTATTATATAACTATTTATATGTTATATAGGAGATGGTATTTGAAGTTTTAAATATAAAATGAAAAATATACATATTTCATAATTAATGTTATGTAGCTTTTCAGTAATATAAAATTAAGTATAACTTAAAATTCAAGAATACTATTTCAACTTCTTAAAGTTTAAAATATGATTTAAAAAAGTGTTAAATGAGAAGTCATTTTTCAAATTGGTCTTGAATATTTTCAAGTGGAAGTTGACAACATCTATGAGTCACTTGATGACCTCCTTACAAAAAAAGCCAACTCTGTGAATGGAACAATGACATTAAGCAGGAAGAAACTTCACTCTGTGTCAGCATGGAACATAGAGGAACCATTCATTATCAGCATTGACAGAGTCTGCAAGTTGAATCGTGATGATGACACACAGGTAATGGATTTCCTAACAAAACGAATACTTCCTAATAAAAATTTTAAATGCAGCATATAAAAATAAAAAAAGCTGATTAAATTTACCAGCCACGGATTGCCTTGCAAGTTATCTCTTGAATTTTGTGTGTAAGGAAAAAAAAACTTAATTGTGGGACTTCTTTGTCCTGATTTTTTTTGTGCCACATTGGAACTTTTTCAGTTATGTTAATAGGCCTCATAAGTGTTGGAAATATTAGTATTAACTTGCCACTGCTATTTCTACATATTAAAATATGAAGTTATTTTTGTGTTCTGTGTAACTAGATGAATGAACAGTTGCTAAAATGGGCTATATTGGTTTTAAATGAAATCTTAATCATTCAATAATAATAATACAAAAAGGAATATTGATGTATTGGTGAAAGTTGCACAGTTCTGTACCTCGATGGATGGAACAAAAGTGACCACTTAAGACAGGTCTTATTGGTACAGTGTAAGTCATCATTAAGTGAAAAGAAGAGTTTTATACCTATTTAGACAATCAAGTTTATTAAATTAGA